TCCCCACGACCCGGGGGCTAGCTGGCTGCGTTGTGCCTCTCATGGCCACCACTCTTACCGTCTCCGTGGCCCCAAGTGCTCAACAATGGCACCTCCAGATCCAGCGGCACGTCCAGCTCCATGCACACACAGTGGATGAATGCCTGCCAGGTGGCCTGGCCCTGGGTGCGCAGTTTGCTGAGTTGTAGGATGACCCTCTCTGTGGGCTCTGGGTCCTCGTTCCTGGAGCCCAGGTCCATGTTGGGGAGGAAGAACTTCACCTTGGCACTCAGCCATTCTGGGTCTTTGCTGAGCTGTCTCACGAGCCATCCCCACAGGTTCTTGGTGCCCAGCTGGAGGCTAATGGGGTCCATGAGGAGCCAGCCCTGCAGGAACCAGGGAGGCAGGTGAGCTGGGAGGCAGGTGAGCTGGGGGGAACCCAGGAGGAGAAGCAAACCCCCACCCCCAGTATCTGAGGGAAGAGAATAGACAAAGAAGACAGAGAAGAGGCCTCTCCGTGGAGTTTCAACGCCATTGCCCAGAGCTTGGTCTCAGAAATTAATCTCCTTTTTCTGCATCCCCTCACTCCCCCTCAATCTGTGCCTGTGTCCTGGCTCTAGAATGGTCTAATTCATCCCCCGTGGATGGAGTCCTGACGAGCTTTACTCATTCTTGTTGCCATGGGCGCATCTGTGCTGCTCTATGTCTGAGCTAACTAGTTGTCCCTGCAGATCTGTTCTTCCCTTCTTCCTTCGTGTTAGAACCCCTAAATATCTCCAGGTCATTTGGAATAGACTGTATTTCCAGCCTCCCTTGTGCTTAGATGTAGCCATGTCATAAAGTTTTGGCCAATGGGATATAGGTGGAAGTGTTGTATATTCTTCTTTACTTTTTACTATTGGCTGGAATGTTGATGTGATGGCTGAACCTTGGGCAGCCATGCTGGATTATGAAGTGGAAGCCAGTGCTGAGGAAGGTGGAGGGAAAAACTTTCCACCTGTCCTGGACACTCTGACTTTGAACTTCTATTCCATGACAAGGAAATACGTTTCTATCCTGTTCAAAGCACTGTTGCTTAGGGCTTTCTGCTATCCACAGTGAAATCTAATCCTAACTAATATAAACCCTCTTCTATCTCCCTCTGGCTCAGTAAATTTTCCCTTTCTAAACCAGAACTCTCCAGTTTATAACTTATATTAGGAGTACTAATGTAAGATAAGGGACACTTACATAGCAAAAGCCTGAAAAGTATGTAGGCCCTTTGATTCAGCAATTCCATTTCTAGCCCTCTAGCCTTAGGAAATAATCATGGATGCACATAAAAATTTTTATTACAAAACTATGCACTGCAAGATTGTTTATAACAGGTAAAAACTGGAAGCAAATGTCCAACAGTTGGGATTAATTACTAACTGGTTGTCCATCACATAGTGGAATATACTATCACATCTCCAAATCTACTTTCTGGCATTAGTTCCTTAGTAACAAAGGCAAACATTCAGAAAGCACTTACTATGTGTTAGGCATTTGTTTTATGTGCTTTGTGTGTCTCATCTAATCCTCACAACTCCAGAGGCCCCACTTATAACTCTGAAAAGGGTAGGAGGGCCATCCAGGAGCCAGTCTCACCAACTCCCAGAAGTTGGGACAAGGACTCTGTGTCCTGGGGTTCAGACCCAGCTGTTCCTTTGGGCACATGTCCCCAGTCCCCTCTAGTCATCCCTCCCCAACCAGACTAATAGCAATAACTCCTCACTCAGGCACAGAGCTTTAGCATTCATGAAGCATGCTCAAATCCAAGAGGTGGGCAGGGATCACCATCCCCGTGGAACAGACAGAAAGATAGATGAAGGCCACGGAAGGGTAAAGGACATGGCCAAGGTCATACTGCAAGTCCACGGCAGAGCCAGACTCAGAACTGAGATTTCTTGCCTCTCAGGCCAGTTAATTTCCAAGGCTTTGGAGCCCTAGATGGCACCAGACATGAGCTAAGTCATTGCACTTTGTGTGATCTTGGCACAAGGATGTGGCCATGGCCTAAGGTACGGCTTCTCTTCTGGGCTGTAGTTTCCAAAGTCCACGCGGCTCATAAAGAAATCATTGGCAGCAGGGTGCCAGGTGGAAGTGAGGGGTGCCAAGATGGTATAATTCCTGGGAAAGTTCTTCAAACTCAATTCTCCTCCAGCCAGTCTAATGTGATGCCTTTGTTTCCACTATTAGTGCTCTATCCCCTTGGGGTAAGACATTAAGCTTCTTAAAGATAACCATCTCTGGGAGAAAGAGCACATTATATCATTATTGGTTGTTGTGAATGTCTGTGGGGAACAGTCTTAGAAACAGAGGATTATAGTAGAAGGATCCTCAGCCCTAGAGTTAGGGGACTGGCATTCCCGTCCCAGCTCTGTAACTAATTCTCCATGGTGGGCATTAGGGCTGTTCACAGATACTCTCTTTCTCTTCTTTCTGGCCACTCGGTAAGACTGCATCTTCCTATCCCCTTGAAATTGGGCATGGCCAGGAAACATGCTTTGGCCAATGAAACATGCAACAGAATGACCTATATCAGGTCTGTGCAGAAGATTTAAGAGCCAGTGTGTGATTCACCTTGTTCTCTCTTTTCCTCTACCTCAGAGTCCAGCAGTATTCCAGATCTCGGCTGCTCCTTTAGTCTGGGTCTGGGAAAGAGGATAATGTGGACTAGAGGTCCCAGGTAATTCACATTAGACAAGAAGCAGGAGTGGGAAATAAGTTTTGTTGTCATAAGCCACTGGGACTTTGGGGGTTGTTTGTTACTGCAGCATACACTAGCATATCCTAGCACTCTTAGTTTGAGCAAGCCTCTTCCCTATCTGGGACTTGGTTCCATCACAAAATGGGTAGATGCTGTCTCAAACCCTTGCTAATATTCTGTGTCCGATGATTTTCACTATCATGTGAAGGGTGACTAAGAGTGACTTTGTTTTACTGGGGGCAGTTCAGGGAGATAAATCTGGGTAGGGAGCAGTCTTGGCAGAATGAAGGAGTGGATGAGGGGGAAGAAGAGGAAGCAAAGGGGAACGATCACTTACCTGGCTCCCTGGTTCATCATAGATGTTCTAGGACATCCGCGGAGAGGGTCTCATGGGCGCCTGGGCCGAGTCCCCGAGCCGGATTTGCAGGTTGTTTCCATAGGACAGGCCTCTAAGGAGAGAAGAGACAGGGCGCACTCCCCATCATTATTCCAAGTTCCAAGGGGAATTATGTCAAGAAGGCGTTACCCCTCACCCCTGACACCTCTGAGGACATCGACCCAGAAACAGTCCCCTCGTCCTCACACACAGATCCTGTTCTTCCTCAACCCAGCTCTTTTTGTCCCTGGACTGTGCACGGCCCAACCCTCCCTGGTGTCGCCTCCTGCCACACCTGGCCCAGAGGATGCCTCTCTTCCTCCTCCAACTTGAATACTCCCTCACAGTGACTTGTGATGTCACAGCATGCCCCTCAAATCCAGCAGATTTATCACAGCTAATTAATTTACTGGATGGAAATGGAAAAAATCCTCACTGCTGATGCCAGCTTTCTTTCTCAATAAAACACCAAAGAGGTTAGGATTTGCAGTCTTCTTTCTTATTACATCATGAAGCGGTTTTTAAATAATCGCGAGTAAACATCCTTCTTAATAAGAAAACCCAGAGATATGGATCACTGCCTCACCAAGGGCACAAAATGATGCTCTGATACTTTATAATAATTACAAATTTGGAGTATAACCTTTAACCCTTGTGAATCAGTAGGTTGCACACCTGTAACTTATATAATAGTGTACATCAACTATATCTCAATCAAAATAAAATAAAGTAAAATAAAAAGATGTTCTGGCACAAATGTCTACATAACACAGCTGTAGACAGCTTGTCTAACAATAAGGAATAGACAAGAGAAAAGATAGCTAAAAAGTATGTGGAATAAATCAACTATACTTCAATTTTTTAAAAGTATGTGAAAAAATGGAAGAAAGGCAAAAGATCAGGTGGGCCCTGACTGAATATCTATGAAGTATGAATGTAACTATAGAGTTCCGGACTTTAGATAAACCCACATAAAGAGGGATATTTTAATATAACAGAAATAAGTACCGTAGTTAGAAATAAGAAAAGGAAAAAAACCCCCACATCCTGTTGAAGAGCTACTCGGGTACTAATGGTATTTTAAAAAAGAAAATTGTTAAATTCTAAAGGGAAAAATGGAGAGAGGTATGAGAAAATTGAGAGAAAGCCTTGCGATGGACTGAATGTCTTTGCTCCCCCTAAATTTATCTGATGAAGTTTAAATCCCCTGTGTAATGGCATTTGGAGCCCTTGGGAAGTAATTAGGTTGTAAGGATAGAGCCCTCATGATGGGTTTCCTGCGCTTATAAGAAAAGGCAGGAGAGTGTGATTCCTCTCCCTCTGCTCACTGCCTTGTGAGGAGGAAACAAGTGGGATGCAGCCGCCCACAAATCAAAGAGAGGGTCCTCACTGGACAGCAGCTCTGCTGGCACCTTAATCTTGGATTTCCCAGCCTCCAGAACTGTGAGAAATAAAGGTGTGTTGTATAAGTCATCCAGTCTACAGCATTCTGTTACAGCCAGAACCGCTCTAACAGACCAAGACAAACTTGCCCATGACTACAGAAAGTAAAAAAAAAAAAACAAAACCCTAAGTTAATAGGCATGTTTAAGGCAATGCCACTTAAATTATAGTAGGGACTTGAGCATCTAAAGATGCAGATACTGAGGGATGACTGTACTCTTTTGGACCACTTTGTACCATTAAAACTTTTTAACAGGTGCATTTTTATTTTTTTCCAAAACTATAAAAACATTCACATTAAAAACCAGAAGAGACATTTCTCTAATGTGTAAGGAAGAGGAACGCATGGTGATGAACAAGCACAAGACACAATCAGTGACAGCTCCCAGAAATGAAAGTTCCCTACATAATGGGAAATAATACAACAAAAACAGAATTAGGAAGGCAATAAATGAGGAGAAATACCTGCATTAAGTATGATAGACTGAAAATTCAAACAAAAAAGTAATTCATATATATCGAGGAAGTATTGTATGCTATTTTTTAACATTTTTGTTTGTGTCCTAGGGACAGAACTACATTTTCACTGGAAAAATGCTTGAAAAAGTTCAACACATAATGTAATGAATATTTGCTAAATACCAGGTAAGTCCCTTTAGGTTTTATCTATTTTTATTTTCATGATTATTCCTCTTGGATGCCTCCTATGCATTTAAAAATTCCCAGGTCCAACACTGAGCTCCTGAACTCCCTCCTGAAACTTCCGCTCCCACCAGCACCTCCTTCCCCATTTGAGCGAAGGGCAGCTTCATGCTTCCTCACGCTCAGGGCAAAGAGGGCTTAATTTTTTGAAGTGAATCACAGAATCTCACTTCCTCCACTGCTACCTCTTAGTCCCTGCCCCAGGAGGCTCATCCCCAACACCCTCCACAGAAGATCAGATCGTCAAGTTAAAATGTGGTCCCCATCACATAACTTTGCCCCTTGTGGCCTTCCTGTCTCACCTCAAGGAAAAGCCAAATTTCTTCTCCACACTATCAAGTGGTTTGAACAGTGAAAAATTTTAAAAAAATCAAACGTGATAACTAACATTTTCCCTCACTGTGTTGACTGTTTTTCACTTATTTTTAAATTAACTTGTGGCAATTGTTTTGTTTTGTTTTTTTTAAAAACTTGCTTAGTTCGTCAGGAATGTTCAAATTTAAATACAGCACACAGTTGTATACAATATTTTCTTCTTTCTAATCTCCTCACATCTTCGCATCTAATTTAGTTTCCTTTACTTTGATTTTTGCCTCTTATTAGACTTGCCAGCAGTTGGTATCTCTTATATCTGAAATTTTTGTTTTCATTGATCAATTCTGTAAAATTTTCCCTTTTCTAGTTTCACAATTTTTGTTTTTTATCTTCTTATTACTTTACCCTGATTTACTGGGACTGTTTGTTATTCTTTAAATTTATGAACTTTATGGCCAAGGTCATTTCTAGTCTTTTCCTTTTAAAAGATAATAAACGAGAACACTTTTGGCCAACTTCTATAAATTTATACCCAGTTCATATAAAATTTATATTGGATTACTAGTAGATGATAATTATAATTTTTAACTGAGGCATTTAATAGAGGGGTAAGTTCTTTCTTAAACTTTTGTCATTAATTTTTTGCTTTAGTGTACAAAGAATAGACCCTATATAATTTCTGCTCAAGGGAATATGTTGAGATTTTTCTTTTTCGCTTGGTATATGATAAATTTTAAAATATTCCATGAATATTTAAAAGATACTATTTTTCAACAAAGATGGAGCTCTATCTCACAAATTATACCAAAATAAAGTCTAGATGGACTAGACTTTAAAATTTAAATGTGAAAAGTTAAACTATTAAAGTACCAGATTACAGGCGTTGAATTTACAACAATTCATAAAGCTGTACATTAATATTTTTGTATTTTTTTCTTTGTGCTATATTTCACAACAAAAAAGTTTAACAAATTTTAAGTGCTAGAAGAGAACATGGGAAACTTTAAAAAAAAATTTCAGACTAGAGAGGGCCCAGGTAAACATGACACAAAACTCAGAAATCACAAAAGAAAAACTGGATAAAACTGACCAGATATAAATCAGAATTTCTGTGTTGCTAAAGAACACCACAAATAAAGCGAAGAGACGTACGGCAAGCTGGAAAAATATCTGCCAATTACATCACAGACAAAGACAGAAATGTTTTTAACATATCAAGAGCTACTAAAAATCAATTAAGAAAAAGACCAACGACCTAACAGAACTGAGGGCAAAGAACATGAACAGTGTACAGAAAAGGAGACACAAATGACTCTTAAATATATGAAAAGATGTTCAACCTCACACGAAGTGAAAGAAGTGTAGGTTAAAACTAAAAACAATACACCATTTTCTAGCTCTTAGATTGGCAAGGATATTACAGGCTGGCAAGATTGCAAATTAACAGGCATTTTGATGCATTGCTCCTGGGAGTGTAAACTGACACATTTATCTACCAAAACTATAAGTGCTATGTAACCACACCTAGCAACTCCATGCCCAGGCATTTAGCTCACAGATACATTCACGATGTGCAACACAACATGCGTTCAAGGATATTTAGTGTGGCCTTGCTTATAACAGAAAAAGACTGGAAATAACCTAAATGTGCATTAAAGAGGAACGAGGAACTTGTTAAATTAAGGCACATTCATGCAGTGAAATCCTATGCAGCCATTAAAAAGGAGGTGGATCTCTGTGGAATAATATGGAACAGTGTCCAAGATATAGCACATTTTCAAAAATAGAGCAAGGGCAGAATAGGGTACAGAGTATGCTGCATTTGTGTGAAAAATAATAAATGTGTATGATTCCTAAATAGCCAAAGATTTCAAAAGAAACTCATAATTAATTGTAATTGTCCCCAGGGAGGAGAACCTTTAGAATTTTATGTTGTGTGTGCATATTATCTAATCAAAATTAACAGGAGGAGGGAGGGTATAACGTAGGCGGTAGAGCAAGTGCTTGGCATGCACGAGGTCCTGGGTACAATCTCCAGCCCCACCTCAATAAATAAATAAATAAATCCCCCCAAATGAATAAAACTTTAAAATAAATAAAATTAAAATTAATCTGAAAAACTTAATGTATCTATTACCTCAACCATACTGGTTGTCATTCAAATCTCCTACATTCATGTTTATTTGGTTTGGGGTACCCATCAAAGGATGAGAAAGACTTTCTCTTAATCATTGTGCTTCTACCAATTTCTCCGTGAGTGCCCAGCAGTTTTTTTTTTTTTAATTAAATATGAAGTTCAATAACCAATTTTAAATGACATTAAGTTTATAGGTTCATGTTACCCAAGTACGTAAAATTTTATTACTGTTTTACAGAAAGCAGAACAGAAAACAGACCCCAAACTCTCAAGCCTTCCTATGTGCATTTTAGCACAGGGATCTCTGGCTAAAAAAGCGTTGCCTCTAGGAGCCACCACTGCATCCCTGGGACAGGGCAATCAAACACGGAGCACAGAGGGGCAGCGAAACGCCCGGCATCACACAGCTCTGAAAGAGTCAGTGCCCAAAGGGAGTCCAGACATCTGGACTTGCGGTCTCCTGCTCCTGCCACTCC